GGGGCGGGCCCCAGCCATTTAAATTTAAATGAAGCCGCGATTATTTTAATCGCGGCTTCATTTCCCTTTTCCGATCTGGCTAATCTACATGCCTCCGTCGAAGGAGGCATGTAGTCTAGACACACCCTCAGGGGATTGTACTTGATCTCTGGAGGTTCCTTCCAGTTCTAGTATTCTATGATTCTATGAAAATACCTGTTTTTGTTTTTAAATGGACAGTCACACACTACTAATGCATCTGAAAACAAGCTCTAGATTAAATGAAATGCCTACATCTACCAGTAGACGGCACTTTAACCCATGTACGGTCACCCATATTAACATGAACTAGCTTTGTGAAGACAAGAGCAAACTACTGTGTACACAACAGGTCATTCTGCTGCAGCTGTTGCAAAATGAGATGCAACTCCTTCAAAACAGATGGCTTTTCTTTTTCTGCCCAGCACCAAACAGCATACATTAAAACTATCCATGAGTACTGTGGGAGTTGGATTACCAGGAAGATGACTATTTCTTTTATAAGAACGGCCATACTGGGTCAGGCCAAAGGTCCACCTAGCCCAGTATCCTGTCTGCTGATGCCAGATGCCCCAGAGAGGATGAACAGAACAGGTCATCATCAAGTGATCCCTCTCATGTCATCCATTCCCAGCTTCTGACAAACAGAAGGACACCGTTTCTACCCATCCTGTCTAATAGCCATTGATGGACCTATCCTCCATGAATTTATCTAGGTTTTTAACCAAATTCAAGTCTTGGTCTTCACAACACCCTCTGGCAAGGAGTTCCATAGGTTGACTGGAACTCTACAGTTCAAATTCAACCTGGATCAATAGTGAAACAAAATTGCTTCGTCTAAAAAGTTCAATAGGCTGTAGAAAGCCAGCTGGTAGTTCCAGTGGTCCATATCACTGTAAGTGGCTATGCATGGAAATGGACCTATTCCCACCTCCAGAGTTAGCTTTTAGAACAGAGATGACACACATTGGCAAGGCTTCAAGAGATGCCTGTGCTGTCCTTCCCCCATGGTGGCACAGGTCCAGTGAATTGTCATGATGATGTTCATCTCCAGTTCTCTCAATCTGGTATTTTCACAAACTCTTAACTTCACTTAGAAATTTGAGACTTTCTATTGATTAAAAAATGTTAAGTGTTAAACATTAAACATTCACTTTAGAACATTTTTTAAAAGAACACAAACTGAAATCCAGCTCAGTCCCTCTCTCCCTTCGTCTTACTTGCCTTAAAACAGCTAATATTGAACAATTCATTGTTACAGAAGTGATTCCATTATAAGGAGCACTTTTGCCTTTTGTAATGAAGAGGGTCAGATAGTTTAATTAATTCAGAATGGAAGACTGGCAGAACATTCCTTATTGTTTCCTAGTGTCCTTTACAAAGCACTAAAGAATAAATCATTTAACGTGTGTGCGTGGGTAAGCACTCTTTTTGTCAGGATGCGTTAAGACAGGAAATATGGTCAGACGTGTGTTTATTTCATAAATTACTAAATGTCCATGATAGATCTCTCAGATGTGTCCGGAGTGGAAACCAACAGTTAGCCCTGTCGCCTCCACTGACGTGTTTTCGCTTTATTTAGACTCTGCCTACAAAGGGCAACCAACCATGTTTAACACCTATGTGTGTACACAGTTTAATTACAACTGTTACCAATCTGTGCTATTACCAAGTTTGGCTGGGCAGCATGGAAGGTGTCACAATGGTGCTTGATCTTTAGTTTTTCCCTCAGTTAAAACACATGTATTAGTCCTATATACCTGGGTGGCTAAATCATGTCATATCCTGAGTTGGACACAAGCACAGAGTGATGTATTTTCAGAATAAAATTTGCAAAAACCTCTGTGGAGAGAGAAGACCATTTTGTTGATTATTTTAAAACAGAATGTTTTGCAGAAATAAAACAGCCTTAAAAGAAGCTTTAATTTTATTGTCTCAACTAGAAACTTTTATAGATTAAAAACATGATCAGATTCTGTTCTAGTGATGTGTTGCATTATACAGAACTTGTGGGTTTTTTTCCCTTGGGAATTTTGATAATGTGCTTTGAATTCCCTGTAATGATTGAGAGGAATGATAGCCATACGATAGTTAAGACTAAAGCTACTCAACTCATTATAAATCTAGTTATCAACCCCTTTTTATTCAACAAAATGAAAAATCTGTCCCAAAATGCACAAGCTTGTATCTCATCCTAAGGCAGAGTCTTCTTGGAAAGTTTGAGAACTGTAAACAAAGTATAATACTGAGCTTTTTTGGAAACAGCTGGACTACAATGAAACCCTCTCAACTTAAATTCCTCTTTAGAAAACTTTTTTGATTATAATTAAGAGATGACTCTTGGACTACTACAAATTTCTCCCTTATAAGGAATCCTGAAGTCGCTTGGACTCTGGCATCTGTGCCTCCCAACTGTACTTTTATTGTGAGGAATCACTGTGACACACAGGCTATGAGATCCCCAGTCAATCTTCTTGACAAGGAATTATTTTTTGAAATGTTGATTTATAATTCTAATCTGATTGCTAGAAAAAAATTCAGAAGAAGCTCAAAGATATCTGGAGTTGTCTTTAAACACTAAAGCTCATGCCTGCCTCTCTCACCTTGCCCTGCAATGCAATAATTAATTAATTAATTATTATTACAACAACAAAACACTACAGGTTGAACCTCCCTGGTCCGGCACCCTCGGGATCCAATCAGTCCTGGATGAGAGATTTTGCCAGACCAGGAGAGGTCATTTCTAGCCTCTCTGCCACCGGCCCCAACAGCCCTGACCCAGCCCACGGCAGCTCCCCACCTACAGTCAGTCCCGCTGCCCTGCCGACCCTGCTGGGCACTTGCACACTGGAGCTCCTAGACCACTGAGAAGCTGTGCACCGTGGCTCTGGGCCCCATTGGGCAGCCATGTACTGTGGGTCCCAGCCTCACTGGACCACTGCTGCTACTACTCAGGCTCCCAGCCCTGCCAGGCATCCATGCACAGGGTCTCCCAACCTCTCCCCGCCCCTCCCGGGCAGCTCTGTTGCCACATGCCGGGCAGTTCTGCTGGGAGGTCGCTGAGGGCAGCCTGCTGCTCTGCCAGCCCTGCAGGGCTCCCTGCTGCTGGTCTTCCACCAGGACACTCTGGTCCTGCAACATCTGTGCTGGCCCCCAAATGTTGCCAGACCAGAGTTCTGGTTTAGAGAGTTTCAACCTGTATATTCATATTGCATTGGCACTTAGAAGTCTCAGCCAGGTTGGTGCCTCATTGTGTTAGACACTGCACAAATATATGGCAAATGACAGCCTCAAAGAGCTTATAATGATGCAAATTTAAGTTTCCAATGCTTTAGCAATAGGGCTCTGTCTGTCATGAAGGTCTCAGAAGTCACGGATTCCATGACTTTCCAAGACCTCTGTGACTTCTGCAGTGGGCAGTGTGGGTCACTCACATCTACCCAGAGGGGCCAGCTGCTCAAGTGGCTGCTAGAGCAGATCCACTGCCAGCCCCTCAAGCAGCCAGATGCATCAGTACTGCTGGAGCAGTTCAGGCAGCCCTGAGAAGCTGGCCCCAAAGACTGCCCAAGAAGCAAAAAGTGCATCTGACTTCAGGGACGTGCTTAGCAGCAATCCCGGGGGTGGTGGGAGCAGCTGGAGCACCTATCACTTGGTGCCCCTTCCAGCAGCAGAGATCCCTGGTCCCCTCCAAGCAGCAGCCATTTCCAGGGCCCCCCAAAGCAGTGCCCCTCTTGCTCCCAGCAAAGATTTAGTTAGGGGTATATAGTGCCAGACATGGACAGATCACGGGCCATGAATTTCTGTTTATTGCCTATGACCTGTCCATGACTTTTACTAAAAATACTAAGGCTAAATTGTAGCCTCATTTATAAACACAGCTAAAGGAGCATCACAAGTGTCTAATTTTGGGAAGGATAGGAAAAAAAGGCAGAAGACCCCCAGCCTCAAATGTATCCCATGTTAGTCGGCATCTGCAAAAAAAAACCCAAGGCGTGTGGGGCACCTTAAAGACTAACAGATTTATCAGGACATAAGCTTTCGTGGCCAAAGACCCACTTCAGATGAATTGGGATGGAGTTTACAGAGGACACGTTTGAGCAGGAGAGGCTTCTTTGGCACAGGGATATTAAAGACAAGTATCACAATGTACATGCACAAGGAAATACGAGCCATAATTCTGGCATTTCCTAACTTGCAACTGCTTGATTCTGCATCCGTAACGTTCTCTTACTGTAGATTTTGGTGTGTAATTTTCAATGGGTTGACTAATTTAAGAGTTTAATAATTCACAGAAGTATCATACTATTACTGCTACCTTTCCCTTTGCCCTCTCCGCTGGGCTGGCTGGCACTCATCTGGGGGCATCCACCTGCCTTCTATAAGTTGCTGAATGGTCTTAGTTTACATAATCACTGTGTAGCAGTGTTACTGCTGTAACTCTCCTGCTCCTATTGTTGCCTCTAGAGCTGTTTTCTTCAAAGTTGAGGAACAAGCTTTCCAAATCCAAACCCAACCTCCTTGACACTTCATGGCACAGCACCAATATAATGTATTTGCCCTGACACCATATTCGGTATGCTTTGCTTTTAAGCAAGAAAAAAACCCTGACATTTTATTTATTCGATCCCTTTTAGAGCACTGGCCATTGGCCTAGACCATGGCCTTACCACATCAAGAAATGACACTTTGCGGTTTTTCCAAAGTTTAAAGTGGTGTTCACGGACTTACCTGTGATTCCTTGCCATGTTTGTTAGGATCCTTTTCATAGCTTTCTGCATAGATCCTGAGGGTAGCTCGCACACTGCTAGAAGCACTAAGTCTGAAGACAAGCCTCGAAGCATCTGAAAAAACAATTCGCAGTCCCTGCAAAAAGAAAGAATAATATGTAAGTGGCAGCAATGACTTTACAAAATTATAATCTATTGCTTTCAAATCAAGAGGCAGCAAAAAAAAATGGATTATCTTGGTTCTGGTTTGGATCTCTCTTGTGTGACATCAGGCAATGTACTTAATCACACTGAGCCTCAGTTCCCCATCTGTAAAATGGAGATAATAATACTGCCTTTCTCCCCCCCCCCTTCATACTGTCTGTTTAGACTGTAAACTCTTCAGGGCAAAGGTTCCCTCAACTAATGAATGTACTATGCTGAGCACGGAAGTATCCAGTTGCTACAGTAAGAACAGCAACAGCAGCTGTAGTGATAAAATGATACACTTTAACTGCTGGCTTTCTGCTGCTGCTGCTTTGTGGAAGCTGTTTCTCTCTTATGTGCCAACATTACGGTGATAATCCAATGGAACATCATGAAGTATAATAGCAAATCTTCAGGTGACATATTAGGCAGAAGCAAAGTGAGCATGAGAAAGCTCTAGGATCCTGGAACCAAAGGAAAACAGTCAGCAGAGTAAACAACATATTTTCATACCACTCAAGGAATATGCATGAAGGTGTGGTTATGAGTGTCCCAGGGCAAGTCTACAAGGAGACACTCAGGACATTGATTCCACAGTAACTGAAGTTGTGACTGTAAAGTGTATTAGTTAAAGCTCATCAAACTTCTGTTTGGATGCTCACAGTCAGATTAGTTCACTTTAGCTGCAAATGTTCTCTCTCTCTTTCTCCGTACCATTGCTAATTTGTAGAACATGGATATCATCAGGCATTCATCAGGAATCTCAAATGCAAGGTCAACATGTTAGATATACACTAAAAATGGCAACATATTTCTTGATTTCATCCTGGTAGCTGGGTTTTGTGCTATAAGTGGGAAAGAATGGGATTGCCTCATTCCATTAGTTCTCGGAGATTTATGTGACTACCTTGTGCAACAAATCACTCCCCTGTGGAAGTAGAGATGGAAAGGGAATGCAGACACCAGAGCTCTTACTGTGGGAAACTATCACTATGCATATTGATGAAATAAAAACTGAAGCCTTTGTGCAAAAATTACATGAATGTAACAAGGAATGTTGAATTAGAGCAAACTCAGCACTCTGTCACTCAAAGCCTTCCCAGTAGGTTAATAGGGACCTAACTTGAAGATCAATTAACTAGATAGAGCTACAGCTGAGGGGCTAATTGGAGGGAGAGGCAATCTCAGCAGTTGGGAGCGTATAAGTTGAGAGGAAGCAAGTGCAGAGGAGAGAGCTAAGAGCCTGAAGACAGAGGTAGGTAAGGACTGACTGCTGCTAGTTCTGTTCCCTTCCCCAGAAACAAGTGGATATACTATCTGGGGAGGCACTATGTAAATAGTCCTACAGAGGGTATCCGGGAGGAATAACAAAACAAAAGAGGGCGGTGGAGAAGGAGATCTGAAATGAAGTAGTGTGTGAGTAAGATCCAAAAGGATTCACAAGGGATCACCCCAAGACAAGGAACATTTGAAACAAGTACTTCTGCATCTGGGCAAAGAACTGGGAAAAAGAAAACACAAGGCGAACATTGCAAATTGATAGAGCAAAACAGCGTAAATAAGAAATGCTGGCCAACAGTGATAAAGGAGCTTTTCCATAACTTTTATAAGAAAATATACTATTGACCATGGTCATAATCCTCCAGCCCAAGCCATGAGACGATGCTTGTTCGTTGTCCAGATCAGAGGTTGAAAAGAAAGCGGAGGATAAAAAGTGAAAAGATCAAGGCCAGAAACCACACTTGGCCACTCATAAGATATAGTGACACTGAGGAATTAGTGACTGAGAACTTGTCTACTTGTACAGCGCTGCACCTGCTAGCTACTCGACCTCCCCGAGAGGTGGTAGCTATGTTAACAGGAGAAGCCCTCCTTGTTATCGCTAGGTGTTAGGTTGGTATAACACTGTCACTCAGGCCATTTTTCACATGCATGAGCAATGCAGTTATACCTATATAAGTTAATGTACATCAAGTCTGAGCCAATTACAGTTTCTACATTAAATGGAAATATAGGAAGTGTGCAAGTCCCTCCTCACAAGCACTCATCCCTCCAAAAGATACCTCTCTCAGTTATCAATTCTGTGGCAGCCAATTTTTAAATTATTTCCAGCTACTGCCCCTCCGTGTTTTAAGAATGATTCTTCTCTCAGCTGCTCCAGCCAAGACTTTGTGGTGTTAAGCATTAGAGTCGCCGTGTTTAAAAGCACATTTTTAATTTAACTGCTTATGGAATTCAGTTTAGGGTGCTATAGGTAGTCTAACAAACAAAACACTGAGGGTTTAATCATAAATCACATGAAACTGAATATTGTAACATTAGCTTCAGAGGGGTAGCCGAGTTAGTCTGTAACAAGAAAAATGTTAAAAAATGACAAATAGTCTAGTAGCACCTTAAAGACTAACAAAACATGTAAATGGTATCATGAGCTTTTGTGGGCACAACCCACTTCTTTTCCTGTCATCCAAGATTGGATCATCCAAGATTGGATCTGGACTTCTAATAATCCCGTCATCTGAGGAAGCAGGTTGTGCCCATTAAAGCTCATGATACCATCTACATGTTTTGTTAGTCTTTAAAGTGCTACCAGATGATCTTGTTTTTTATTAAGTTTTTTAGTTAAATTATGTTCTCCACTGGAATAAACCTTGCATATGATGTCAGACTGTAGGCAAGAAAGCTTTCAGATGGCTGATTTTTATTTCTGAGTCAAGATGGTTTTCTTTTCCTAGAAAATAAGTGGTTTCTTTCTTATTGCTCCTATTGCATACCACTGTGCTCTTTGAGTGAGACAGCTGGAGACCTCGCTCCCTTTTTAGGACCATTTTTACTTCAATGGAATTCCACCAGTTTTCTAGATTTACAGCAGCATGAGGGCTCGAGATGAAAATCAGGTTGAGAAACTCAGATTCCACCAATCCTTCCCCCACCCCAGTTTTCTTCTACTCATTGCACATGTTCAGATAAAATGCAGATGTAGATACATCCACGGTAGAAGCGGTCTGGACTCTCTTAGGCAGAGCTTGCAGAGCAGGCATTGGGAGGAGGCAGAAGAAAAAGAAAATACAGGCTGGACCTCTCTGGTCTGGCACCCTTGGGGCCTGACCGGTCCTGCATGAGGGTATTTGCCAGACCAGAGAAGGTTCCTAGCTACTGGTTACCCAGACCATCTTCCGCCTTCCCCCTTCCACCCGCTGCCAGCCCCAGCCACGCCCCCTCCCCACCAGACTGCCGGGCTGCCCGGTCACAACCCCGCTATCGGAGCTGCCGTGTTCCTGGCCCTGCTATCAGAGCGGCCACAGCTGCCGCATCCCTGGCTCTGCTACTGGGGCTGCCCTTGCCCCAGCTGCATTACTGGGGCTCCATCGTGGGTCCCAGCCGCAGCCCCACCAGGCTCCAAGCTGTCAACCCTCTTGCCACTGGGGCTCCCAGCCAGGAATCCCTGATCCAGAAACACCAGTAGACCTGACGGACCACACATATCGCCAGATGAGGGAGTCCCAGTTTTGGGAGTTCCAACCTGTACGGAAATTTAGGACAAAAAGGCCCTGAAAACAGTACCATTTACTGAGCGGAAAGTGCGCACGGAAAGCTACTTGTTTCATCTGACCTAGGGGGGTAAGGTTATTCAGAATTCAGAGAAGAGAAATGGCATTTGACTCTTCTACTAATTAAAGCTTGCTTTATAAGCCAGAGATACTAACAAAACAGAGCTCCAACATGATAAAATATGAGTGGAACATTTTTGTTTTTTCAGGTATGTGCTGAAGCATTTCTAGCACCATATAAAGAATTGTTTGGTTGTCACTTGCCATTAACACTAGAAAATATGTAATAGGAAAAAAATCCTACCTCAGTAAAGGGTTGGATGAGATGATCTAATAGGTATTTTCCATATCTAATGTGTGATTCTACTAATAATCATTTTGACTACTACTACAAACGTCCAATTTTTCAAGTTTCAGAGCAATGTTTATTCACCTTGTATTCTCAGTATATACAATATATGGGAAGAGAAAACAAATAGCTTATGTTAAGAAAAAAAGGTTTAAAGTGGGCTAGTCCAATAGCATGGGAATTTCAGGAAAGTGTAGCACTGTAGCCATTTGTTTTCTTTTTTGGAACCTCAATGCTTCTTGGCTGCCTTCAATTCTATTAACATGAGAAAGAGAACAGATTAAAGAAATCTTTGCATGACTGGGCCTGCGTTTTGGAAGAATGTCGGCTACAGAACAAGATGGGTAACGTTATTGTCATTTAAATGTTCTAGGATCCAAAAGCCCAAAAGTGCCCAAAATATTTTCAGAAAATGACTAAAAAGGGACCATGAGCAGCATCCAAGATAAGGTACAGGTTTAATTCCAAGAAATGTTTACAAGTATTGTTTTGCGGCATTCAACCAACTCTACTAACAGCCAGCATGACTAGGCTAGTAAGTCTGCTCAAATAATATCCGCACACACAGCATCTTTGTGTGGCAGCAACATCTTAGAGGAATGACTGTTTCATTTCACACAAGAGCCGCTGAAAACTCATTCACTCATTAAATCATGGTCTTTGTAAGAAAAAGTACTTAAACATGCATCTGAAACAAACTGCTCCCCCAACTTCCGAGCCTTCTGATAACGTAGTACTTCTCATTCTCAGATACACATCTCCCTGTATTTTACTTCCTATGCTATTTCCCAGCTCTTTTCTTCCTCATTTCGTATTTCCTGGTGATAGATGTTTGACCATACAGACACTCCCAAATGGAGGAGGAGGACAACAGCTGCAAC